GCAAAGAGCCAAGTTTGAAAGAAAAGAAAGCACACTGCCATGTGTGTACCTACGCAACTGTCTTGCATGCTCTGCTCATGTACCCCAAAACCTATAATCCAATAAAAAATTAAAAAAAAAAAAAAAAAAAAAAAGTAAAAAAAAAAGAAGTTAGGATCTGGGATGACTTTGTGGTGGCAAGGTTGAGGATGAAGCAAAGTCTGTTTGCTGTGGAAAAAGGGCTGCAGAGGAACTGACTGAATAATATGGAAAGAATCAGAGTGGGAGGATAGATAGGGGCGAGGAATCACATTGCAACATGGGGATGAGAAGCTGAAAGAACAAAGGGAAGAGGAAGAAGCTCTGTATCGGGTGGTTCTCTGAGAGATGATTATGAAACAGCATTCCAAAACGTCTTCAATAATTGGTCTAGCTGTCCTCTGACTGATGTGTGTGAACCAGAGAATGAGAAGTCGAGCATAGTTAGTAGGTCTTTTGGAAAGACTGTGGAGATTGTCCTAGTTCCAGTAAGTAGGTCTGCAGTGGTTTTCTTGGGTTCCTAGTACCTTCTAGCATCTATTGGAGAATAGCAGAAGCTTCTGGTGTTTTGTGACTTCATCTTCCAGATTACTCAGCTGTTTTCTGGAATTATTACAGGCTGTGGAGTATGGAGAAGGATTTGGTTTTTTTAAATATGCATTATCATTTTCAAAGTATTTAGTTTAATTAATTTTTCTATATAACTCTAATATTTTGCCAGCAATAATAACAACTTTGGTATTTTGAATCAGCATTCGAGTTTGCTCTTGAGAATTTTATTGCTTAGAAATAATCATTGAATTAAACACTATTGCTTTCTTATATATTCTTAAACACTATTTCTGGGATTCAAGCATTATTCCAGTTCATCATGCTGCCAGTTTTAGCAGTTCAGTGAAGAATAGCATTGAATTCAATATGTAAAAATTCTATTTATAGGAAATATTCTCCTGTAAATTTGGTCACTGTTGTGACCTTAGTGAAACAACAGGAAGGCTTCTGCATATGGTTTTGCCCTTAACTTGGATGTAACTTATTATTTGCAGACTTTAACTGACAGCAACCTATGATCATGCTAATTTTTATTTAAGGCTATCTGATAGAGGTGTATGATTGAGACCTGGAACTAAGAGCCTTTATATAATATGTATGTACACACAATTTTTTTCTTATTCTTGTCTTCTTGACAAGAATAAGGTTATCTCCTCTGGGTCATTTTTTGTTTGTTGGTTTCATTTACACTGTTTGAAATAGTACACGTCACTAGGATTTGGCAACTGTAGGGTATGTCATATGTACACAGTGCCTCAGCAAAGTTTTAATTATACACAATAGACACCCAAGGCAAGAAGGCTTCATTTGTTTTAAGAAGAAATGTCAAGGTTAACTAATTTTCAGAGGATTAACTGCAACAAATAAAGACTAGAATTCATATCTTCTTATTTTGGCCTATACATTCTGGTATGTTCTGTCCAATATCCACTGAAGAAAACATAGATGAGAGTGTTTTTGTAAAACTCTTCTACATGCCAACACATTTTTGGCAGTTGGCAAAATAATGAATAAATTATAGTGAAAATTTCTATTTATGGATCATGATATAGTCATTAAGATCATTATTATAAGTACATAGCAACATGGAAGTATTTAGAATGTTTTGAGAAGAAAAGAAAAATGCACAATTATATCCAGGTTAAACTTATATAGCACTGCAAAATATATGCCTGCTTGTGGCTGAGAACTGGAAAGCAATGTGAAAATAATTTAAATTTTTGGACTTACAGAATTGTGGTTGTTTATTTCTCTTGCATTGATTTATATTAATAAAATAAGTGTTTATCCAATCAGTAAAATTACATTAAAATTATATTTATTATTTATTTACAATTCATTCATCTAAAGTCATCTATTGAGTCTTGGTATATGATAGACACAGTTTGAGGTACCAGGAATATATTATAGATAGGTTTTAAAAATTCATAGACTTTTTTTTCTCACAGGCAATCCAATAGGAAGTTTGGGCAACTATGGTGGGAGATGGGGATACTTGGCCTTTCAGAATTCTACAGATCACTTTGCACAACCATTCCTCTGTTAGCAACAGACTCCCGAAAAGAGATCACCAGCAGAACCAAGCAAAACTAAGTATTCACCTCAGTGAAATAAGGGAGAACATCACCTTTAAATTTAGTAGTATTTGGAAAGGGGAAGTAAAGAGAATATATTTGTAGAGTTTTATAGTCGGGTCTGGGAGCCTTATCTTGCTAGGGGTAAAAATGGTTGGCATTAGGTAGACTTTAGACCCTAGTAGTTTGGATTAATGAAGTCTCTAAGAGCAGCAAGGGTCTCAAAGTGAGCCTTGATAAGTGAACTGTTAGTCTTAATTGAATAAACCCGTTCAGGCCATTTACAGCCTTATTTTTCAAAAGAAAACATTTCCGGGAGCAAGTACCTGAGTTATTTTTGTTGAGTCTCCAGGTGTTCAGCATTACAGCAGTCACTGAAACTTTGACCCAAAATTATTTAGCACTGGGACAGAAAAGCATTTTGGTTTCAGTTCTTACCTTCTTTGTGAGCAACTGTAGGTTTGATCAACTCATTTGGTCAACAACGTGGATGCTTTTTCCCCTCTTTTATTTTTTTATTCTTATATTATTGTCACCCATGTTGCTTGTAATTTGGGAAACACAGTCCTTGGGATAGCTTAGGGGATGAGAAGTCAAGAGAGAGAAGGTCTTAGGGTAGATGACTGGGTTAGCGGCTCATTATCCAATCCTCTTCTGTTTGGAGGAGTCTCAGAATAGGTGGGAAAGAGACCTAGGCTTCCACTAGGGAAGCAGGAATATGCATTCTCACACCCAGCTGATTTTTGTATTTTTAGTAGAAACAAGGTTTAGTTATGTTTGCCAGGCTGGTCTCGAACACCTGACCTCTCGAACCACCTCGGCCTCCCGAAGTGCTGAGATTACCTGTGTGATCTACCGCACCCGGCCAGATGAATTGGATTCTGCTCAAGTCTGGTTCTTCAAGCTCTCTGTTTATTCTGAGTTCTGTCCTCTATTCTTTTGATGGATTCCTTTTTTTGCTCATGTCAATCCAACATTTCTATTGTTTGCAACCCAGAACCTGACAAGCACACAGCCCTTGATCATTCTAGAAACTAAAGTACAGAAAGAGCCCTGACTTCTCCAGAAGTATGTTTTAAAATCAGTAGTGAAGTTAGTAAAGAAAAACCAAAGGGGAAGATTGAATTTCATTTTAATGCATTTTTTTAAATAAAAAGATAACAAAAGGAGGGTAGTGAAGAGTCTCTTGAGATGTCCATGGCAAAGTTTTTAAAGCTCTCAATAAGGAGACAAGGACGGAGCTTCACTGTAATTATCCACTTTCGACTGTTGAAGTTGGTACGTTTAAAATAGACTCCTGATGAGAATGGTTTGCACTGCAATTAATTAAGTGCATGACATTATAAACAGCATGTCTTTTCCCTCTGGAGAACTTTCTTCCTATGTAAGTGCTATTTGGTTTTAATTTCTCTCTCTCTCTTTGTCTCTATTTTTGTTAAAAAAAAAAAGTTGTCCCTGAAGGAAAATTAACTCTGCTGTTAGTCCACTGAGAAAGCTTCTCTTTGAGTACTGGAACACACCTTTGTCTAACTCTCCCTCACGCCCAGTGCTAAATTTATCAGCATTATTCCTGATACAAACATTTTGATGACAATCATGAGGAAAAAGATGAAAAACTTTGCATTTAACTTTGGTTATAGGTGTCCTTGTTCTCTAGAAGTCACTTTCTTTGTTATAGTGTGCATGCACTCACAGGAGTGTGCATATGTGTGTGAAGTACTTGGGAAGTGTATTTGTCCGTTCTCACACTACTATAAAGAACTGCCCTAGACTGGATAATTTACAAAAGAAAGAGGTTTAATTGACTCACGGTTCAGCAGGGCTAAGGAGGAAACTTGCAATCATGGCAGAGAAGAAGCAAACACGTCCTTCTTCACTTGGCCGCAGCGAGGAGAAGTGCAGAGCAAAGGGGAGGAAAAGCCTCTATAAAACCATCAGATCTCCTGAGAACTCATTATCATGAGAAAACCATGGAGGTAACTGCCCCCATGGTTCAATCACCTTCCACCAGGTCCCTCCCATGACACATGGGGATTATGAGCACTACAGTTCAAGATGAGATTTGGGTGGGGACACGGCCAAACCATTTAAGAAGTATTTCAGAGACAGATCATTCCCCAAACCTTATCAGCAGGGTCAAGACCTGGCAGGTGAGGGATTAGTAGGTAAGCACAACATTCCCAGAAACATTGAGAGTACCCCTTTCTCTCTGGACATTTTCTTTCAATCTTAATATATTTTAAAAATTATATTCACAGCTTTTAACCTCAATTATAATTCTGTGCTTCCAAATTTGCTTTCTTCTCCCATCTTTCCTCCTAATAAAATATCTGTTCTTCGGATAGTGTTCCTTAGAAAATAGAAAGGATCTACAAAGGCCATTATTTGTGAGATGTGAATCATTTCAAATAACTAAATACCTTGTTCTAATGTGAATGCTGGAATTGTGAAGAGAAATGGGTAGATATTTGAATTTCTAAATGCTTTGGAATATTAGTTGTACATGCAGTAATGTTTCTTGTCACTTAGAAGAAATTGGTTGGCTTAACCATAAATGCAACTGGAATAGTTTACAAATAGGTTCTGGCATCAATAATAGAAATGTTAAATAAACTATGTATTATATCATGATGCTTCTCTTTTTTTGGGGGGGTTGCTTTTTCTTCTCTTGATGAACACAGTACTCTTTCTTCTTTGTCTTTTATCTTCCCTCTCAAATTGTCAATAATAAATTTGAAGAATGGAGAATAATACCTTGTCATGTGCCAGACCTTATACTAAGTACTAGATATGTTATATTGTGTTTGATACTCAGGATGATCTTAGGGTAGGTACTATTATTATCTTATTTTACAGATAAGAAAACAGAAGCCTGGAGAAGTTTAACAGTTTCATCAGTATCAGAAAGAACCAAGATCAAATGTCTACATTGAGGTATTTGATCTTAACCTAGATATGCCAGGATATCAAATCTAGGTTTCACTATTATTTTGTATTCTATACAAATTTCGACAACTGCTACTGATGGAGGAGGGATGCTGTATGGTTCTAGTTTTTTTTTAATTTTAACTTTTATTTTAGATATAGGGGTATTTGTACAGATTTGTTACATAGATACATTGCATGATGCTTAGGTTTGGCATATCCCATTACCCTGGTAGTAAGCATAGTACAAGAAAGGTAATTTTTTAACCCACCCCACCCTCTCTCTACCCTCTAGTACTTCACAGTGTCTATTGTCCTCATATTTGTACATATGTCCTCGTGTGCTCATTGCTTAATTCTCACTTATAAGTGAGAATGTGCGATATTTGGTTGTCTGTTCCTGTCTTAATTTGCTTAAGAATATGGCTTCCAGCTCCATCCATGTTGCTGCTAAAAACATGATTTTAGTCTTTTTCTTGAGGTTGCATAGTATTCTATAGTATAGAGATACCACATTTTCTTTATCCAGTTTACTATTGATGGGCACCTGTGTTGATTCCACATCTTTGCTATTGTGAATAGTACAGTGATAAACATATGAGTGCATATGTACTTTTAGTAGAATTATTAATTTTTGTAGGAATATATACCTGGTAATGGGATTGCTGAGTCAAAAGGTAACTCTGTTTTAAGTTCTTTAGGAAAGCTCCAGACTGCTTTCCACAATGACTGGGCTAATTTACATTCCCAGTCATTGTGGTGTGTAAGCATTCCCTTTTCTCCACAGCCTCACCAATATCTGTCATTTTGTTGACTTTTTTATAATAGCTATTCTGACTGGTGTGAAATGTTATCTTACTGTGGTTTTGATTTGCATTTCTCTGATGATTAGTGACATAAGCATTTTTTTATATGTGTTTTGACCACTTGCATGTCTTCTGTTCAGGTCATTTGCCTCCCTTTTAATGGGGTTGTTTTTTGCTTCTTAATTGTTTAGGTTCCCTATAGATAGTAAAAATTAGGCCTTTGTCATATGCATAGTTTGCAAATATTTTCTTCAATTTTGTAGTTTTCTGTTTACTCTGATGACAGTTTCTTTGCTGTGCAGATGCTATCTAGTTGGCCATCTTGCCATTTAATCTTTACTTTTCTTTCTAGAATACTTGAACATTTTGCGATTTCTGACTGAAGTTATTTCCCTCTTTCTAAAGAATGCCCTTCTGACATCAATAATTTTCTGAGAGTGACACAAGCTGACCGTGATTATATAGTAACCTTATGTGGTATGAAAGGATAATGAAGGTGACTGTGGTTCCTTGGGCATTGGAGATTCTGAGAAAACTCCAGGTCAACTCTCCATAAAGGTTCCCCATACCTGTAGTTTAATTTACCAATTAGGAAATTATATATCTGGGGCTAAATGATCTCTGATTCGTTGGCCTGAAAGAGTTAATGTACTTTAACAACTATAAAAGATCTCTGCTAGGAATGTGTTAAATACAGTGAAAATCTGCTTCAACAATGGACAGCAAGTTAGATTTCATTGTTATAAATTAGTACCATTAACTAAAACCCTTGTCCATTCAAAATAATATATATTGTAACATAACACTAAGCTCTGTTATTAAACTGCCACAGATTATTTCTTTAACAGTTTGAAAATGATTTTTAGAAAATTGGCTTTGTACAATGCTATATTAGAGTCTATTAATTGATGATAAAACCAAAATCAGATGACATTTGCAAAAAATAAAATTGGCATCAGTTGAAGCATCTGTATCATTTCTCTTATTTAAAGGACATTTCTTTGTCTTGAAAAATGACTGACTACTTCGATTAGTCTCATATCACAACCAAAAAATAAAGTTGTCTATGGGTGGCTTCTCATTTGCATTTAAACTATTCTGTTGCAGCATTTGTAAGCACAGCAAACAAAAGATTGCTTTGAATGACATAGGCCTGTACACCTAAGAGAGATATATGTCATCTATAAAATGTAAAAAATATGGGTTTTTGTAAATGCCTCTGAAAACGATTGTAAGGATCTATATTTTTCCCTCCCTCCTAGAGTTTATTTTTCTAATAATGCCCCAGAAGAAGAAAAGTTCTAATATATTTTCCTTGGAGGGGTCATGAGACAATGAAGCGTATTAGGATTTGAAGTATATTGGAGATAAAAATCATGTGATATCCTCAAGTAGAGAGACACTGTTTTACTGTTCTTTATCTTTACTGTTGGGTCTAATTGCCTTTGTAAATTAAGTTTATGTTGTAAACTAGTAGTGAACCAGAGATTGAGAGGTGGGGGTAATGGATGAGATCCTCACATGTGAGGGCTCCAGGATCCTGTGAGGCAATGGAAAGTGTTGACCTAACTACCTGGATGGGAAAAATGCTGTTGCCATTTTCATGTTCTTCTGTTTAGAAGATGAGTTAACATCCATAAAAAAAACTTAGACTAAGGGTTGTCACACTGCAGCCTGTGAGCAAAATGCTGCCTGCCATCTGTTTTACAAATGAAGTTTTCTTGGAGCTTGAATTACTACTGCGGAGTAGAATAGTGGAGATGGAGGCCATTTGGCCTGCAGAGTCCACAGTGTTTACTATCTGGTGCTTTCCAGAAAAACTTTGCCAAGTCTTGATTTAGACTTAGGTAACTTTAGGAGGAAGTTACTGACTGTACAACTTATCAGGATATTTAAGCTTGTAAAGTATTAAAAGACCATAACTATCTGCTTTCTGTGGCAGGGAGGGGGCCTAGGAGAGATGACGTGGTTGCAATGCTCACGCATTCATTCCTTCATTCACCACAGTGATTGTGTGCCCACTCTGAAACAGGGATAATACCAGGTAATCAAGATACAGCAGTGAGCAGAAAGAGGCATAGTGCCTGCTTTTATGGAGATAGGCACTGGAGTCAAATAGTGTACAGTGTTGACAAATGTCCCTGCTCTCACGGATCGAGAGATTAGAGTTATAGAGGAACCATGGAAGATCTCACTGAAAATGTAACTTTGAATAAAGAATTAGAGGACTTGAGGAAGGTAACCATGATGCTAGAGTTTCTCTGCAGAGTAAAGGGGAGTGATAGGATATAGCTGAAGACAGTGTGAGCCAATATAATTTTTTTAAATTGAGGAATTGACAGTATGGTTGTATGCTGTGGTGGACAATTTAGTGGAGAGGGAAAAGTTGATGTTACAGATAATTGCTGGGATAATGTCTTTGAGCAGATGAAAGGGGCTTGATCCATTGTACAACAGAAGGATCTAGTCTTGGCACTGGAGCAAGGACAGTTTATCCATAGTAATAAAAGAGAACATAGAGTATATATGGGCACAGAGGCGGGTCATCACGTATTTGTGATGGTTGAAAACTGTAGAAGTTATTTTTTTAAACTTTAATTTATCTTAGTATGTGCAAAGGCCTTGAGGCAAAATAGAGCATGGTGTGATCAAAGAACTGAAAGAAGAAAAATATAATCAGAGTGTAAATTAAGCAATACCATGGAGCCATCAGACGAGGCTGGGGAGGTACACAGGACACAGAGGTCAGCAAGTCTAAGAATATGGCAAAAATGGTAAACCAATTAAGAATGGGGTTAAATCAAATTTGCCTTTTTAAAAAGACGACTGTGGCTGCTGATAGAGCTTGGATAGGAAAGTGGGCCAAGAGTCTCCATGGAGAGACCAATCAGGAAGCTATACCAGTAATTCAGGTGGGAAATGATGGCATCGTGGTGTAGACAATAGGGAGTGGGTAGAAGAGAAATGATCAGATTTTGAGAGATATTTAGAGACAGAATAGACAGACTAACCTCACTTATATTTGGATATAGATGATATTGCCCCAGGTAAAGAGTGAATAGAGAAGAGAGCTTAGGAGTCAATGTGGACACTCATGAGAAAGGATTGAAAGCCTGATTTAGAACACTGAGTGAAGAAGCTGGGCATTGCTGAAGAAGACAGCCAAAATTCACAACTGCCTAGCAGTGAAGAAACAGATCAACAAAAATCACATGATGTGGAAGGGACACTTGCCATTAGATCAGTCCAGGTGAGACCAAATACTGGTGGCTTCTGATTTATTTTAATCCTGTAATTATATTGGTTAATTTTATTGTTGTTCTCATAATGAGACCAAAATAAAGGTCAAAATCTTAAGAAGAGAATGGGTTGTAACGTAGCAGGCAGATTGTTGATTGACAGTCAATGGACACTTCCAATTGTCATGTTCTAGGCCCATCACATTGGCCTTTCCTCTATTGAAGCTTCCATCATGGAACCAAGAGCATTTTAGTTCGACATCTTTGCTAGATATAGGTATAACACAGACTCTATGAGTAGCCTGCAATGTGTTTCTATTCCACATATTGCTAGATAACTCTGCTTATAAAAATCATGAAAATCTGCTTCTAAAATCACATAACTTGGAGACTCTGTCAAATGAATTACTATTAGATGAAGTTAAGAAATGACTCTATAAGTAAAGAATAAAAGTTAGTCTTAGGAGTTCCATCCCATTCATCAGTCTAGGAGGTTTGGGATCTCAGAGGCATTTTTGAGCTGAAAACTCAAGACAAGGAACAAGCCATCCCACTCTGAATAGGGCTGTGTTTCCTACCTGAACAGTAAGAAGAGGGTGTTATATTTTCTTTTTTTGTTTGCTTAGTCTTTCTGTGGTCTTAATTTATAAGCATGAGCAAAATGATAACCAGCTTTATAATCTAGAAAGGGGTTTTTTAGTTCTATAATTTTTCATATATATATGTATGTATATATATATGTGTATGTGTATGTGTGTGTGTATATATATATATGTATGTATATTTTATTGCACTTTAGGTTCTGGGGTACATGTGCATAACATGCAGGATTGTTGCATAGGTACATACATGGCAATGTGTTTGGCTGTCTCCATCCCCCCGTCACCCATATCTGACATTTCTCCCCTTGTTATCTCTCCCAAAGTTCCCTACCCCCGACTATCCCTCCCCTATTCCCTGCCAACAGACCCCAGTATTTGATGCTTTCCCTCCCTGTGTCCATGTGTTTTCATTGTTCAACACCCACCTATGAGTGAGAACATGTGGTGTTTGATTTTCTGTTCTTGTGTCAGTTTGCTGAGAATGATGGTCACCAGATTCATCCATGCCCCTACAAAAGACACACTCATTGTTTTTATGGCTGCATAGTATTCCATGGTGTATATGTGCCACATTTTCCTTGTCCAGTATATAATCAATGGGTATTTGGGTTGGTTCCAGGTGTTTGCTATTGTAAACAGTGCTGCAATGTACATTCATGTGCATGTGTCCTTATACTAGAATGATTTATAATCCTTTGGACATATACCCAGTAATGGGATTGCTGGGTCAAATGGAATTTCTATTTCTAGGTCTTTGAGGAATTGCCACACTGTCTTCCACAATGGTTTCACTAATTTACATTCCCACCAGCATCTTCTCCAGCATCTGTTGTCTCAGATTTTTTAATGATTGTCATTCTAACTGGCGTGAGATGGTATCTCAGTGTGATTTTGATTTGCATTTCTCTAATGACCAGTGATGATGAGCATTTTTTCATATATTTGTTGGCCTCATATATGTCTTCTTTTGAAAAGTGTCTGATCATATCCTTTGCTCACTTTTAAATGGGTGTGTTTGTTTTTTTCTTGTAAATCTGTTTTAGTTCTTTGTAGATTCTGGATACTAGCACTTTGTCAGATGGGTAGATTGCAAAAAATGTTTCCCATTCTGTTGATTGCCAGTACACTCTAATGATTGTTTCTTTTGCTGTACAGAGTTCTGGGGTTTAACTAGGTCCCATTTGTCTATTTTGCTTTTGTTGTCAATGCTTTTCGTGTTTTAGTCATGAAATCCTTGCCTATGCCTATGTCCTGAATGGTTTTACCTAGGTTTTCTTCTACGGTTTTTAAGGTGTTAGGCCTTATGTTTAAGTCACTAATCCATCTGGAATTAATTTTAGTGTAAGGTGTCCGGAAGGGGTCCAGTTTCTGCTTTCTGCACATGGCTAGCCAGTTTTCCCAACACCATTTATCAAACAGGGGATCTTTTCCCCATTCCTTGTTTTTGTCAGGTTTGTCAGATGGTTGTAGATGTGTTGTGTTGCCTCCAGGGCCTCTGTTCTGTTCCATTAGTCTATATCTCTGTTTTGGTACCAGTACCGTGCTGTTTTGATAACTGTAGCCTTGTAGTGTAGTTTGAAGTTAGGCAGCCTGATGCCTCCTGCTTTGTTCTTTTTGCTTAGGATTTTCTTGGCTATGCAGGCCCTCTTTGGGTTCCATATGAGTTTAAGATGGTTTGTTCCAGTTCTATGAAGAGGGTCATAAGTAGCTTGATGGGGACAGCATTGTATCTATAAATTACTTTGGGCAGTATGGCCATTTTCACAATATTGATTCTTCTTAACCATGAGCATGGAATGTTTTTCCATCTGTTTGAGTCCTCTGTTACTTGCTTGAGCAGTGGTTTGTAGTTCTCCTTGATGAGGTCCTTTACATCCTTTGTTAGTTGTATTCCTAGGTATTTTATTCTCTTTGTAGCAATTGTGAATGGGAGTTTGCTCTTGATTTGGCTCTCTTTAAATCTGTTATTGGTATATCGAAATGGTTGTGATTTCTGCACATTGATTTTGTATCCTGAGCATTTCAGATTGTTCATCTTTGTGGGGGTGGGATCTGCTGAGCCAGATCACCTGGCTCCCTGTTTCAGCCCCCTTTTTTTCAGTTGAATGGGCTTCTCTGTCTCCCAGGTGTTCCAGGTGCCAGTTGAAATGGCCGCCCCGATTTGTGTGAGTTTTTGTACGGAGACCAGCTGCACCAGCAGCTGTGCTAGAAACTCTTGGCGCTTTTCAGCCCAGAATCTCCTGGTCTGTGGGCAGTAATAACTCGTTTGGAAATGTGGTGATCACTCACCCTCTGTGTTGTTCTCTCTGGGAACTGCACTCCAGTGCTGTTCCTAATCGGCCATCTTGGATCTGCTTTCAGTGTTATATTTTCTAATAAAATTCCACATTAAGTTAGATAAAAACTCTAACTGTGGAATAGACCTTACTGGTAGAAAGATTAATGTGAAAAGCTACATAGGGAAATTTTAGGAACGTATCTTGACAATAGAGCTTGCTATACTTGGGGGAGACTTGTCTTCTTGATTCTAAGGTTAACTTGGGACAAGGAATCTGTGCTTTGGAAACCAGCCTATTTTTATGTTCTCTGTTTTCCTGATTTTGATGTGTCTTGATGGCACTGCATTCTAGTAAAAATTCCCTTCAATAGGCTGCCAGGAGAGCAGACCGGGGACTGTGAGTGTTTTAGAGTGGATTTTTAGGCATGCTTTCAGACCTGGAGAACAATTCGGGTCAAAATCTCCAAGTCTGTGGAATGAAGCTTTGGGAGAATTAATCAGAATGTTACTAAAAGAAAAGGGAAATTAAATCTGACTTCCACCCCTCTGAGATTTTTGCCAAAGATAGAGAATGAGAGCATAACCTTTGGGTCTAGAGTGGACTATAGAAAGATCTTCCACTCTCAATATGCTAATAACAAAAGCAAGGTAGAGAGGAAACACTGTGCCCCAGCAACCTGTGGGTCAAGCCCCTCTCCATCATCCCTACATGCTTTTGCTCTCTTCATTGAGATTGTGTCCCTTTCTATAACACTCTGACATTTTTGGATCTCCAGAGCCTGATTGTGTTCACATTCTCTACTCCAGTCTTTTAGTCTACCCTACAGAGCAGGTGCATATCTGTGGAGAGAGACCAGCTGGAGCATGGGCCCAAAGCTGGTTCAGATATGGCATTCCCGTTAAGAGCAAAAATAACAATTAGTAATATAATACAAATCAAGTACAAAGTGAATATTTAAAAGGAGAAAAGATATCACTATTAATTAAAATTTTAAGTTAACATATATCCCAACTACCACAAAATATTATAAATTATTATATTTTATTAACTGTCTTACCCAATTTTGTAATACATTTTCCTCTACATTTGGCTGAATATTCTTTGATTGTTTCTTGAAATGACACTGAAATAGTAATATTTTCTGTGTAAAAGATTGGGAAAATAATTTAAACTTTTGTTTAGGATTATTGATTTTTAAAAAATTAATAATTTAGAAAAGTTTAGTAATGTCATAAATTCTTAATATTGTTATAAATTTTTGAGAAATATTAAATTTTTTTTTCCAATAGGAGCGGTAAGATTTCAGGACATTTGATATGGTGTGGGTGTGTGGGAGTGTGTTGACTAATCTTACATACTCTTATTCTTTTACCAGTTTGTTATTGAAGTGTCAGTGCATTTGTCATAAGATTTAGATTCTTGGGCCGGGCGCGGTGGCTCAAGCCTGTAATCCCAGCACTTTGGGAGGCCGAGACGGGTGGGTCACGAGATCGAGAGATCGAGATCATCCTGGTCAACATGGTGAAACCCCGTCTCTACTAAAAAAAAAATACAAGAAATTAGCTGGGCACGGTGGTGCGTGCCTGTAATCCCAGCTACTCGGGAAGCTGAGGCAGGAGAATTGCCTGAACCCAGGAAGCGGAGGTTGCGGTGAGCCGAGATCACGCCATTGCACTCCAGCCTGGGTAACAAGAGCGAAACTCCGTCTAAAAAAAAAAAAAAAAAAAAAAAGATTTAGATTCTCTTCATCAATATCAACATTTTATATCAAATCAGAAAAAAAGTTAAAAAAACTTTCCAATATGTATGTTTGATTAACTCCTCATTAATTTACTTTTCAAGCAATCTAAGAGTTAGTTCATCGTATCTATTTGAAATTTATCTGTTTATCTTATTGAATTACCACTTTCGAGATGATCTGAAAAACCTGTTACAATTCACTCTCTGACAGCTGAATAATTTCTGTTGATTTAATTACTTGGCTTTATTGCATTTTTTTCATACTCCAATAATAGCATTTGAAAATTTCTTATTCATTTATTTTTTAGTCCTTTAATCTAAAAAATTAAGGCTAAAAATGTATTCTTTGTGTATATTCAAATCAGGTCAGTAGTTTTTCACTTGTTGAAACATTCAAAACATCTTTTTAATTCACTTCTTGATATTGGGATAATCTTAATTTTAGTTTTGCAAATTTTGCCAAAGCATCTGGCTAAATGAACATACTTACCAGGGCCCCACCCCAGAGCCTGGCTGGCGCTTATACAGAGAGCTGTGCAGCTTTGGCTTTTTCATCTTCACCATAAACCCAACTCTGATTCTCCCCTTTCCCTCCAGCACCTTCCACTAACAACACACATAGACAGCCATAACACACCCATTCTATATCTCTTTTTTTTTTTTGAGACGGAGTTTCACTCTTGTTACCCAGGCTGGAGTGCAATGGCGCGATCTCAGCTCACCGCAACCTCCGCCTCCTGGGTTCAGGCAATTCTCCTGCCTCAGCCTCCTGAGTAGCTGGGATTACAGGCACACGCCACCATGCCCAGCTAATTTTTTGTATTTTTAGTAGAGACGGGGTTCCACCATGTTGACCAAGATGGTCTCGATCTCTTGACCTCGTGATCCACCCACCTCGGCCTCCCAAAGTGCCGGGATTATAGGCGTGAGCCACCGCGCCTGGCCTCTATTTCTCTTTTTATGCCTCTTTTCTGTAGTGTTTATCTCTACAGCAATTACCACCATCTAACGCACAATATATTTTGCTTATTTATTTGTTTATTGTTTATCTCTCTATACTAGAATTTAAGCTTTGTAAAGGCAGATGTGTTCCTTTCCTGGGGCTGCCATGTAAATGACTACAAATGGGTGGCTTGAAACAACAGAAATTTATTCTCTCTGACTTGCAGAGGCCAGAAA